ATTTTATAATGTATCTTCACTGGTTACTGGGCCCACAGTCAAGAAGGGGTGGATGCTAACGTGACAGCACAGTGCTAGTAGTCATGATTCAGATACAACACGTGTCAGACCAAAAGACGAAAGTTCTTTTCTTATACTTTTTTTTGGTTTAAGGTTTTCTCGAGATTATTCATGTAGTTTGCAACTGCCGGAAATTGAATATTTGCTATAATTTTTCAATTAATTATTCACTGGAAAAAGAAATAAAGCGCGTAGATATAGAATAAAATAATAAATTATTTTAAAAAGATATTTTATTTTATCTTAATTTTTTTAAAAATATTTTATTCCAAAAAAATGATAATAGTAACAAATTTAACTGTCAAATTTAATTAAATTTCTTAACAAATAGTAAAAAATAATAAATAGAGACGGTAAATTACAACTAAGTTTCTGATTTTTTTTAGTATAATCACAACAAAATTTATTAAATTAAAAAATTATAACAGAGTTATTGTATTTTAAACAAATATTACAACTCAATCCACTAAATTAATTACATATGCTAAAAAATTAACTTTTAGTATGTAAACTAACAACCCTTTTTAGAAATAATAAATACTTTTAAAAATATTTCAAATTAAGAAAATCTATTTTTAAATAAAATAAATTGTATTTTAAAAAAATAAAAAATAGGGTTGTAATTATTCTAAATGTTAAGTATCTTCACGTAATTATATATATATATATATAGATATTTACATTTTCATGAGAGAACTTTCCATAGAAATACCCACTTTCTCATTAATTCTATTTTCCACTAATTTCTAAAAAATAATAAAAAAGCTTTTGTATTATTTGATGGGTACTAAAAAATATCCCTTCAAATTCACCTAAAAAAATATCCATTAAAAAATTACTAAAAATAAATATTTAAATATATTTATTTATCAGTATCAATTGAAGCATTCGCCTAACGAACCCCCCAAAAGTGGAAAAAAAAAAAAAAGAAAAAAAAGTTGCAGCATGTCTTTTCTATGGTCGACAAAATCATGTATGTCCTCCTCTTCTCTCTCTCTCCCTCCTTCCTCTGTCATTTAATTCTCTCCATTAAACTCCAAAAAGCTAGAACCTCCGCAATCATCGGACACAACCGACAGCACCGCTATTAAACGCTATGGTCCGTTGATCTTGAATACTTCTGTGATCGCTGACCCTCAACGGTCAATCTGTTTTCAAATATTTTTTCAAAATGTTGACTTGGGTCCCATTCTAAAGCTGTATATATATATGCTACTTTCGCGGCCTTCCTTTCCTGTCTTCTCCTTCCTCTACCTCACTTGCTGTCCTAACGGTAGTTCTCTCTCTCTCTCTCTCAGTACATTTCATTTTCCTCTCTGTAGATTCAGAGTGAAATATATCAGCTATAAGCTAATGATTTTTGAGTTTAGTGTTAGTGATCAGTTTCATTTTGAGATCTAAAATATTGGATTGTCTATATACATATATATATATATATATACTTATTATATAATATGTTATACCCCATTTCGTTAGTGCGGCGAGTTAGACAGTAACTCAGCTTTCATGGTTGTGACAATCTGTTTTGATTGATTTTTCACGTTGTGTTCAGTTGTTTTGAAGTAGTTATCCTCTGTTTGGCTGGTAAGAAAAAGTGATGAAGAGAATGAGAATTTTGAATTTCGTGTGCTCTTCTTGGTTTAGTTTAAAAGAACAATGAGTGTAATTTATCTAGGTGATGCTGCTTCTTTATTCCTTTTCCTTCTAATTTCGATGATTTCTTTCTTTTTTTTTTGTCATTGAAGTAGAAACCGAAACATCTGATTTGGAGTTTTGTTTTCTCGGCAACCAAACGGAAAGTCAGATGAAAGTAAGCTGTTTATGATTTACTGATCCAAATTTGATGTTATGCGCTTGGTTTCGTAGGGTCAGCTGGGGGTTTGAGAGCAAGAAACACTGGAAATCCAAGTTGTACTGATCTAAAATACCAAGATTTGATAGAAAGCCGAAAATTTATCTCGTCAGTAACAGTCAATTCTTGTGGTTATTTTCAATCGCTTGGCTACGGTCATAAGTCCGAGTTGCTATAACTTTCACCATGGCTATCGTCCTAAGTTCTCTTCTGATAAAGGCAGGGACGGTATTGACTTCTGATCACACTTCAGTGGTGTCAATGAACCTGTTTGTTGCGCTTCTCTGCGCATGTATCGTGATTGGCCATCTGTTAGAGGAAAGTCGATGGATGAATGAGTCTATTACAGCTCTTGCGATTGTCAGTATGCTTATCAATTAAAAAACGATGCCTTCAAATTATGGAAGTTGGGTTGGATTGTATTTTTTACTTAATTTATTTGCTGAATATTGATGGCAGGGTTTGTGCACAGGGATTGTTATTTTGCTTACAAGTGGAGGGAGAAGCTCACGTCTTTTGATGTTCAGTGAAGATTTATTCTTCATTTATCTTCTACCTCCCATTATTTTCAATGCAGGGTATGATAGTTTTGGCCATTGCATGTCCATAGGTACATACATATTACGCTGCATAGTGCTTATCGGGCAACTCACATAAGATTCACTTCAGATCAAGGAATAGCTTTATTCGTTAAATAATTTCACGACATATTTACTTACTCCCTGGAAAGTTATCTTTTGCACTCAACGTGAATTAATTTTGGTGTTCTGCTTTTAGCTCATCTATCTTTTCTTGTTTCTGCGAGGTAAACAAAAAATTGGAGGAAGCAGTCAAAATTAACTTGGTAAAAGACATTGACTATGATTAGTGTTTTCTTTTGCACCAGGTTCCAGGTGAAAAAGAAGCAATTTTTTCGCAATTTCATGACTATCATGCTATTTGGTGCTGTTGGTACTTTGATATCATTTGCCATCATCTCAGTAGGTATACACAACAACTCAATGTCCTCCTTTGCTTTTGCTTACAATCATGCACATGATCTGGGAAGGGTCTGGAGGTTCTAGAAAGCATTTTCGTGGACCACTTAAATATCTTAATCGAAAGCTATATGAAGTGAGCTTAAAATATTTCTATTGATTATTACTTACTTGTCATTACTGTGTTTATTCTCTTTGCTGGGCTGCACGCTTCACACACGGGGACAATCTATCTAATCTCAAGTTCTCGAAGAATATTTCACTAGGCACTAAAATTATATAGGGATATGATTTGCTTTCATATTATCTTTCTATTTTAAGATTTTTATTTCATTATTATTCGGCGACTTTATTACCATACATTTCATTTGAATAGTTCTATATATCTTTGAAAAATTCTTAGCGTTTATGGTTTTTATCAATTTCACTGATAAGCGATGCTTTGTTCAAAAGTGGATTGCCTCTTATGTGTCTATGGATGAAAATCCTCATCTTCCTGCTTCTGTAATAAATGATTTTTGTTTACATGTCAGGGACTAATCTGTTAGAAAAATGTATTTGTCGTAAATGTTCAATTTGTTTTAAAGAAATAAGTGGCATTCAAGTGCAGTAAATATGTCCATAGCTCCACATTTGTTTACTGAGTTCTTTCTTTATTTTGAATTAGGTGCTATACACTTCTTCAAGAAGATGATGAATATTGGTTATCTCGAGATAGGAGATTATCTAGGTATTTTTGATACTTTCCTTTTTTTTTTTTTTTGTGGTGTTATTATATTTTCAATTTTGATTTTTATTTTCAGTATGTTCACACTTTTTACTTCCTTGAATGCAGCAATTGGAGCAATATTTTCTGCAACCGATTCTGTTTGCACCTTGCAGGTATTAATGGTTTGGAAGCTGTGAACCTGTTCCACGTAAAGAAACACTGCTGAATTTAATTGTCCATGTCCGTCCAGGTTCTAAATCAGGACGAGACACCTCTGCTATACAGTCTAGTTTTTGGGGAAGGTGTTGTGAATGATGCCACATCAGTTGTTCTTTTCAACGCCATTCAGAGCTTTGACCTTTCTCACATCAATTCAACAATTGCTTTGCAATTTGTTGCAAACTTTCTGTACTTGTTTATTTTAAGCACCTTGCTGGGAGTTTTTGTAAGTGTACTCATGCATGCCTTTTCTAACTTTGTTATGTTTTTCTGTCGGGTATTTAACTTATAATTTCCCTTTTTCGTTGTCTCCTGCAGGCAGGATTGCTTAGTGCTTACATTATTAAGAAGCTTTATTTTGGCAGGTTTGTAGAGAAATGCCATGCTGATGAATTTTGTCTCCATAAATATTATGATTTTCACTTGATGCAGCTGCAAACTGCACTAATCTTCCTCATAACTTTCATTCCTGTCAATTGCTATTATTAAGTTAGTAAGTTAATTACATTAGTTTAATTAGTTAATTGATGGCTTAACCACAATAGCTGTCTCTTAACTAACTAATTAACTAATCTAATGTACTCATTAATTCACTAACTTAATAGCTATCTGCTGCTTTCTTTAAAATCACAGATTGACCAAAAGTTGCGTTGTCTAAATTTTATGAAGTCCACTAGTAGTTCATATCCTTTAGAGTGAAAAGGAAGTAGACCGAGAGTTTATGCATTCTTATGACTTAGTTTTCTCACGTCTTTTTTTCCGTTGGAAACACCAGGCACTCTACTGATCGAGAGGTTGCTCTTATGATACTCATGGCGTATCTCTCGTACATGTTGGCTGAAGTAAGAAATCTCACAACTTATACATCACCTCTTTGTGTCCGCTCTTGCTTTTTTTTTTTTTTTTTAAATTCTAATTCTGAATTGGAAGTTTCAGAGGTTAAAAAGGAAATCTTACTTGCGATGATAGTAATTTAATTTCTCTTGCAGCTATTCTATTTGAGCGCCATTCTCACTGTATTCTTCTGTGGGATTGTTATGTCCCACTACACATGGCATAACGTGACTGAAAGCTCAAGGGTGACAACCAAGTATGTTCACCTATTTCATTTCTTTGGAGAATCACGGCGAAGCTGTCATTGTACTGATTTTCTGTTGCTTTTTTACCAATTAATGCAGGCATGCTTTTGCTACCTTGTCATTTGTCTCCGAGATATTCATCTTTCTTTATGTTGGCATGGATGCATTGGACATGGAGAAGTGGAGAGTTGTAAGTGATAGGTGAGAATAATTAATATGAAAAGAGACTGGTTCTAAATTTTATCAAGTTATTGGGTGTATACACAATTTTATTATAAACCGAACATGGTCTAACCTGTCAAATTCTGTTCGCCAGTCCAGGAACCTCAGTGGGAGTGAGTTCAATACTGTTGGGACTTGTTCTTGTTGGAAGAGCAGCATTCGTGTTCCCTTTGTCCTTTCTGTCCAACTTGACGAAAAAATCTCCACATGAAAAAGTGGCATTAAAGCAACAGGTATTATTTTCATTTTCATTTCTTATATCAACAATGTTTACCAAGTCCATGGAAGAATCAAATTCATTGTGGGCATTTTTTTTTCAGGTTACCATTTGGTGGGCTGGTCTTATGCGTGGTGCTGTTTCCATGGCACTTGCTTACAATCAGGTAGAAATTTGAAACTTCATTTTTCCGAAGGCATAATTTCGGGCCTAAACAATTTCAATGACATCTGTGCAAATAGCGGGCAATATGCTCCTTCTGTGCAAGTTGGCAGGCATATGAATAAAATAAGGCCTTCAGAAAATGGCATACTGGCTAAAAGACCGTACAACAGTGAATACAGATTTAATATTGAAGCTTAAAGGGGTTTGTCTAATAAAAATTTGAATTACGATCGATAATGTTAATCTTTGTGCAATTTTTTTTTTGGTTGACGCAGTTCACCACTTCAGGCCACACTAAGTTGCGTGGGAATGCAATCATGATCACCAGCACAATCACGGTTGTTCTCTTCAGCACAATGGTAAGACACTAGCACATCTCTTCTTGAATGAAAATAATGGTAGAAAACCTGAAGTCAACCTCTCGTGCCATCCAAAATGGGCTCCAGACTCCGGAGCCCATTGGAAGTGCCATTTGGTAAACTACAACATACTTCAGGAGGGACAGGCTGACAGCCATTTCCCCTTTCATTTGGTTGTCAATGTTTTGAGCTAGATGTTATTTGCCTAAAACTTCTACTTCAGTTGTGGTGTTTTTATGGATGTTCTATTTCACATAACAGATATATGCCGAGATGAAAAATGAAAGGGAAAAACAACTCTTTTCATTAATGAAGTTCAAAATTGAGGTTGTCAACAAAATTTAAAATTGATTTTATGAACTTATCAATAATAATGGAAAAGATGCTATATCAAGACAGGTACCGTTTGGGTAAAATAATTCATTTTTTTTTACTGGGGTTAGAGGTGGCATCTTTCTACACGTCACTAAATTTTACTGAGAAACACGTTTGTGAAATCTTTGCAGGTATTCGGGCTGATGACTAAACCATTGGTCAGAATTTTGCTTCCTTCATCAAAAGAAATTACCACAATGTTCTCCTCCGAACCATCTACTCCAAAATCCTTCACTGTCCCGCTTCTTGGCAACGGACAAGATTCGGAAGCTGGCCAAGGCAACCATAATGTTCCACGGCCAACAAGTTTACGGATGCTACTGAGCACCCCTTCTCACACAGTCCACCATTATTGGAGAAAATTCGACAATGCTTTCATGCGGCCTGTATTTGGTGGAAGAGGTTTTGTCCCCTTCATACCCGGCTCACCAACCGAGCAGGGTGTTCAACAGTGGCATTAAGAGGTAATTGAAAATCTGAAATACAGAAGCACTAATTTATAAAAGCTTATAATTTTAGGTTAGAATTCGGCTTTCGGTGTGCAATTTGTTAATATAAAAGGAGCTTTTGAGGTGGGGTGGTGAATCTGGTGACAGCATTTTTTTTTTTTTTTTTTTTTCAGTGTGAGCTGGTTTTTCTTTTTAAATCTACATGTCTTTTTTCTTCCATTTTGAGTGGTGATTCTCCATTTTTGCGTTGTATATTGGCATAGTAGTGGTAATGTATTTTGTCCTGATAGCTTGTACCTGGTAAGCTTGGCCTTGTTTGTAAAACATTCTGGTGTTTATTGTATTCTTATGTATAATGATTTTTTCATTTGTTCAATGAATCTTCGACCTCTTGAGGTTCGGATTACTCTGGATGCAAGTCTTGTTTTGATTAAATTCTCCCTCCCTTTTCTTGAAAGCACAAGTGACTAAAAGGAAGAAAGGTTGATTAGTTGAAACTGTGTCTCTTCTTTTGGAAACAAAAATGGTTCATGTGGTACATGTGTGACGCAGAGGGGTGAAGATTCTACAGCAATTCATTTATTGATGTCAGAACAAGGACCACCTTAGGGGTGCCTCATTTGTAAGGCATCCATAATTATTACGTTGTAATTATTTCATTTGAATTTTTTTTTTAGAGAAAATCATGCAAAGCACCATTACATCTGCAAAATCCCTAAATGGGCGAATAAAGAAGCCAACCACAACAGTAGCTCTCGAACAAAATAACTGGATTCAAGAAGCACTAGCCATGGTGCTTCCTTAGATAAAATAGGAGCTACCTGCTTATAATTTTTAGAAATTTAATTAAATTTAAAGAAATTAAAATATTACCAAAAAATTAATAGTCATAAACTAAGTTTCGATGAAGAAGCAAACTCATATGGTAAATAAACCGCTCAAGAGTCACCTTCAATCACTACTTACCCCACACCCCTGGACATTGCAAGCTCTTTTCCAAAAATTGTTGTTTGAATCTTAGCTAATTCAATAGAATAAGGTGTCAGGAATACACGTCATTCCTATGGTTGTCACTAAACTTGAAAATCATCTTGACATATAGCAGTAATACTGGACCATCCATCTTTCTTAACGAAGACATCATTGTTAATTTTGACAATACTTGGTGGTGGAGAAACTCACCTTGTTGAATGTTAGTTCAATATTTAATCTTCCATATATCTGGATGTGATCCTCAATATTGCAAGATTTCATAAGCCACTCATTTCCGCTCCACCAAATTTTCCAAAGAAGCACTATTGTCCATTGGTGCAAGTGTATATGGTTGTTGTTCGTTTTTGCTTTAATTCAATGCAAAGAGATGTATAGGGGAAATAGTCATATCTTAGAGGGCTAATCTTCCATGCCTCCTTTGCATAGGTGCATTCTCAAAATAGGCGATCAAGGGATTCCTCACCACCTCCTCACATATGACATGTTGGGTCAATATTGATGCTTTTCGTATCAATCATTGTTTGATACAGATAATGTTCCTACAAACTCGCCATACAAATTGTTTAATTTTTGGCACAAGGGGCATTGTCCTAAAGCCTTTTCTGAGGAAATTTGTCAACTATGGATGTTGAAACATTATTCTGAGAGCGCCTCATATTCCAAGCTTGGTGATATCCTACCTTCACTTAATATAGTTCCCCATTCTTTGAGTGAGACAAAATCATACGTGGTAGCCGTCTGCTCAGGGGAATACTCAAGATCTGTCAGCCATCATCTAGGTTAAACATCTACATAATCGATTCCTGATTCCATGTACTCTTTTGCATGAAGGAGATCAAACACCTTATTTACATTACATGCTTGAGGTTCTGGGGTCTAGAACTTATGACCCACTTGAAATAACAGCCATTTATCCTATCATATATCAATTGATTCACTATTTCCCAACCTCCACCTCAATCGCCTGGTCTTGGCCCCATAGAGCATCTCTAAATTCCTTATTGCAATGGTATTTTCCTTGTATGATTTGGCAATAAGGAATTATAGCTTTTGTAAGATTTTCCATGCTTGTTTCGTGAGCATGACCTGATTAGAACTCATCACATTATGTAAGCCTAGACCCTCAGTAAACTTGTTTGTGCACATATTGGACCATCTAAGTTAGTGAATTTTCTTAGATGTTTCACCTTGGCTCCACTAGAAGTTTAAGATAATAAATTCCATCTGATTTGCAAATAGATTGTGGAAGTAAGAAAACACTCATCAACTAAGTAGAGATGGTTTGGGTTACTGCTTTTAACATTACTTGCCTATCTTCTTTTGGAAGCTATTTTATGTTCCATGTGTTTATATGTGAGGCTAGTTTCTCCACCATGAATGAAAAAGTGGCCTTAAGGGACTGCCCAACCACTGCTGAAAGACCAAGGTATCTGTCATGAACATAAACAAGGTTGACCCCAGAATATGTTTTATTATTATTGAGAAAAGAATATGTTTTCTCTTGTATTATTGATTACCCTATTGGAGAAGATGATAATAGACTTCTCAAGTTGATAGCTTGACCTAATATCCAAGAATACAGAGGAAGAATATTCTTCAAGATCTGAATCTTAATTGTTGTCATCTGCAAAAATCAAGTGTGAGATAGTGGGGACGGCTTGGCAAATTTTGGATGTCTTGAATGCTACCATTCTCCTCAGCTCTATGAGTCACAACTGAGAAATCTTCTATACACAACATAAACACATAAGGCGAAAGGGATCTTATCGAAGTCCTCTTTTGGGAATGATCATTTTGGATAGTTGTCCATTTATCAAAATAGAATATGATATAGGGAAACAACGTATGATTAAAGCAACAAACAATTTATGGAAACCCAATTTTATTAACATGCCTTCAAACCCAATCAGAGGTTACTATGCTGTTTGAGTTGGATATTCTTGGCAATTATTTATTATATTTTGATTATTCTCAGATTATTCTTTTGATTAATTTTTGTATTATTTATCTTTTAATTTCCTCAAATTGAAGTGGACTTGAACTGGGCCAATCGGGTCTTGTTGGCCCATTTTCTTGACCCAATGGTCTAACGTAATGAGCCAGACGTGGCCAGCCCATTGACTGCGTTGATTGGTCTAGCATTGTGGGTTTCTGGACTGTCCCTATATTTGCCTCCTTTGGTCCAATATGAAGATTCTGAATATACCAACCAACATGAGAGATGTACTTCAAAATCGTCCAAAAAGAATTTGGCTATGGTTGAAAAATATTATAAATTTAAAAATAGTCTCTGAACTTAGATATTATTACAAGAATATCTTTTCATTTCATTTTGTTACAAAAATAAATTCTATTTGAGCATTTTATTGATTTTATATTATGAATTTGGACGATAAACAATAATTTGATAGTAAAAAAATGTAAGAATCATCTAATATAATTATGGTACTATTAAATTTTTAATAAAAAAATAATAATAATAATTAAAGGAATTTTTTTTGTAATAAAACAAATAGAACATTTTTATGATTGTATTTAAGTTGAGAAGGTATATTTGTAAAGCATATTTTACAAAATTACATACATAAAGCTACATTTCTGATGTTAGAACATGGCATCAACAATCAAATACCTAATAAGACCCTTCGATCCTAATAAAATTCAAAGATGACGTACCTATTTCTTTGTCCTGGAAGAAGTCAACTTTCACGAACAGAGAATTCTGGTTTTTCTATGAATGACTAAAATAACCAACTCCCAGACTGATCAGAGCAACCGCACATACATATAACAGAGGAAAACCCACTCGAGTTCTTCTAATTGTACTGTTGTTTCTCCTCAGGAACAGCTGCATATAATGAAGATAAATATGCTGCCGTGGCTTAGACGAATATAAGTAGAGAGTCAAGAAAAAAAAAAAGAACAAAAATGAATCAATCAGAACCATCATTGAACCATCTTTATGGAGGGCATCATGAATTATTAGTTGATATTTTCTTATTTAATTTACTGTATAAATTATTTATTTGTGGACATATTAAATTGTAATAAATGAAGAGCTTTCTCTTTATTTACTTATCTATCACCTTTTCTTTCGGCTGCAAAAACATTGGGAAAGGAAAGGGATAGGAAGAGCTTCCTCTGCTTATGGTACAAAATTAATTACCCTCAGAAAGAAATATAAATGAAAAAAATGAAAAGCAATGGAAGAGATGAAAACTGACCACTTCATGTCTAAGCTTATCTCTCTCTTGAGTGGCCATTCTCCCCTCTTCAGTCATGTTCGTGATGATAAGTTCTGCCTGTGATCAATCCGTACAACATGACTATTTGTTAGCAGGATTAAGATCATCACATGCAGTAAAGGTTTCAAAGATGACTCCTACGAAACCTTCAAAGGGCAACAATATGAAGCTCCAGAAACCTTGAGAAGACAACGTGACCAAGTTAAAACAAACAAACTAACCTCCCTTAGCTTTGAATCCATGTCATGTAGCTTTGACTTCAACTCCACAAATTCCTTGGCCAACTTCAACTTAAGGTCATCCTTTGCATCTTCCAATTCATCCAAATCCTCTGCTGGGCATGATTGCTCATCCTTATCTGCTATTAACTTATCAACGTCAGAGGCAGCTTGGACTCCCTGCAAATGCTTAGCAACGTCTAGTCGATCAGCATCCTTTGCATTTACAACATCCTCCTCAGTAGCTATTAACTTATCAGTACCAATTACAGCTCGGGCATCCTGCAAATTCTTAGCTGCGTTTGGCTGATCTGCATCCTTTTCTTTTCCAATGACCTCTTTATTAGCTGTTTTAAGCTCATCAAGATCTGCAGGTGTATCAAACCTCTCCACATTCTGATCAGCCTGGAAGCAGAGAAATGATGATTTCTCAGTTTTGGTGAAAAACAAACTAATTATCACCGTATTGCATTCGTTCCTATCATGCTAAGCGCACAATATGTGGTCCATGTTGTAAGCTCTATTTTTTACCCAAAAGCATACAACAATTCCTGAAAGAAGGAACAATGACTCCTATGATTCTCACCGATTTATGTTGAAATGAAGACGAATGTTATAATAATTGGCATAAGCTTTTGGAATAATTGATAAAAAAATCAATTACCTTAACATGGTATCTGAGTCAGAGGATAATAGATTGGGACATACTGTAAGTTATTAAGTTTTTGAGATAATTGACAATAATTAATTATTTAATGTAACACAAATTATGGACATTAACTCGAAAAAGCCAGCAGAAAAAAAGAGAATCTGGAGCAAGAAAACAAGATCTTATAGACCTTGACCTTATAGACCTTAAGTTTCTTACCTGTAGAGGTGGAGGTACATTTTCTATTCCTGTCAGCAGTCTATCTTGCTTCAGTTCTCCATTAACTGGCAAAAAGTACTGGGAAGGGGGTTTGGGAAGTAAGAATACCCTAAGCTTCTTTTCCTCAATGCATCTGCCACTATTTTTGCCAAACTGCCATAAGAAACATCAAGAACTTAGAGGAGACATAAAAGATAATCAGCCAGGGAAAAGAAATGCCATGTTCAATTCTTACCATGTCAGATGTAATGTCTTCATCAGTTGCTCCAAAGGGAACAACAATACTTTGAATCAGGAACTTATCTTTACATTCTAAGCCAGGTGGCGCAACACGCTGAGCTTGCATGGTAACTGCAATTGACAAAAGATTAGGTGTAAATAATTCCAATTATAGTCTCAACAAGGAACTAAATCAGCTGAAAAGTTATGTATTACAGTATAGCAAAATACCTATACAATCGCATATTGTTTTTGGCTTGATTATCCCTGTGTTTGGGCGAACACAGTATTTCTTTGGAGAAGTAGTCTTCACCTGCCAGAGATTTGGCTACTAATTGAAGTCATTCTTCATTAATATCCTTTATAAGATTTTAAGATATGAAAACATTTTTACAATAGTATGCTAGAATCACAAACCACTAATCAGAACACAAAAAAGCTTTATTGGTCCCTAGATGGTTATGAAAAAGAGAAGCCAACAAGAGAAGATAAATATGAACGGTATGACTCAAGCTAACACAGAGAATACCGGATACCTTAAAAGAGACAAAATGATCAGATTTGTTGTTCAGTTGGATTGAACATGTGCCTTGTTTCTTCAACTCAACTAGAGAGAGGAAATGTAAGCAAATCAGTATTGAGATCTTTATGACATGCAAAACCATAATAACTTATTGGTGGTCGCCACAGAAATGGAGCAAAGCATCATAATACAAAAAACTACAAAAGAAAGAAACTGTTATGCTGCGTATAACATTCAATTCCTAGTCAATTCCAAGTTCCAATTCCCATTTTCAATTAGTTGGTATTTGAAAACCAATTCAAACTTGACATGTAGGAATTGACTTCGCACTTGGAATGATGGGAAGTGAAGTGCTACAGAATATCTTCTATATTATCCGTATAAAGACTAATCAGAGAAAATTAAAAGTGATAATTGACTAATCACTGAACAGTCATTGAATTGAGTGTAGTATACATTCGAACTTGAGTTCACCGGGTTGAATATCCAACAGCTCTGTAGTCATGTCCCTACAAAATCACAGCAACCAAACGAACGAATCAAGTTTCTTGACAATGGAAACTTCTAACTTCTTAATCATTCAGTTAAACAGAATCCATGATCTAATCGAACTTACACACAGCACATTAGAATTACAAGCATCGGAGTTGCAAGTAGAAAGTTGCAGTGGGTAGATCTAAGAGAACAATGACAACATATACTTGAAAAAATTAAAATCACTCAGCAGTCAAGCATTACCAAACCTAAATCTACTTACCAAACTCAAGAACCAAACCTCATCTTACAGTTAAAAAAGACGTGCAGTAACAATTTCAACCATACATAAATCATTAATTGAACAGGAGTAAAAGTCCAAGACGAAAAAGTAAACGGAGACTTTATTCGTTGAAAATCAAAGTTCACTCGATAAGAGTGTAGAAGTAACTCTGTTTTGAAGCGGAAACGGCGAGATCGAAAGCCCCCAGGGAGAAATGAAAATGTGAATCCTAATAGCTGGAGAAGACAACGAAAATGGTAGACTCTGTAATTCTTCCTCGTGCAGAGAAATGAAGGTAGAGACACGGGAGATTGAAGGGAGATACAGAGTTGGTGATCTGAAACACTGATTAAGGGAGAAGGAGAGAGAGAGAGAGAGAGAGAGAGAGAGAAGTGAAAGCGAAGAAAAGATGGAGATGGTTGAGAATGTTTGGAGGGAGGGAAAAGGATTATAAAAATGGAGGCGTTGGTAACGTGAAGACACAGCGGTTGTACCCGCTCTCTCTCTCTATCTCTCTCTCTGACACTCCATTAAATCGTTTGATTTGATGCGGACTTAAATTTCAGACTCACATGTGCACATTGCTGTTTTAAGATACTTGATTTCAAATTTTCTGCTACTTTTTACAGAGTAAGAATAAATCACAATATGCACATATATATATATATATATGCATGTGTTATGTATAATATACATAATTATATATTTTGTATTTTGTATATAATATAAATTAATTGCATATATATCTATTGTGATTTATTATGTATATATTAATAAATTAATGTTCTAATTTTTTGTTTATCATGAATTATTTAAATATTAATAAAATTAAAAAATCAATAATAATTTATATATTAATATTACTACAAAATAATAATTTAAATTAATTTTATATTATTTCAGTATTTATAGTAATTTTTACCAAATTAAATAATTTTTGTTTTAATTTATTATTCATTAAGGCA